ATACACATACACTTTGCTGCAAACATACGGACGCATGCTCCTGCTCCCGGCATGTGAGGGTTCGCCCTCATAGATGAGATGCAAAGACCGGGCCGCGAAACCGAAACAACGCTTAAGCCCTCAAGCCTCGTTCCCTGTCTAGCCTGCCTTCTCCCGAGCACAATTGTACAGGTTGCGTCTCAACGACAAACCTTCCCCAACTCTACTTGGGCCCACGACTTCCAACACGAGCTTTCCGGAGCTTGATAACCACCTGCTAGCATCGCAGCCAGATCTTTCAAATTTTTTGCCGCATAAGAGTAGCCAAATCTCAAAGAGGTCGTATGTTACAACAACTAGACAACACCCCCGGGTTGCGAAGCTGATTTGAGGATGACAGAAAGGGACTTGCCTGCTGAAGCAGGAAGCCACAACCCAGGCTGCGCTCCACCCATTTGAGCACTTGTTTAAGCAAAGCCTTCCATGACTGCTCGCAACGAGAAACTGCTACCTCGTAAGAGATACAGCGCCGCAACCCGTCAACCTTTCGGACTCCGCAGGGCCCTTTGGTCTCTGTGCCCTTACTAAGCTACAAAAGATGTCGGACCAGAGCATGGCGTCATCTTCCGTAATATAGGGGCTTTTGGGTGTATCATCGTTTAAGAAGTTAGGTACGGACTAAATAACACATTATCTGACTAATTTAGGTCTGCGGTTCTAGGTATCACGACTACGACTGGCGCCATGCGCGAACAGCCTCGCTGTGATGATCTCCTACCCAAGAATTCTCGGGGCTGTCCCGCTGCAGCTCTGCCTTCTAGCTATAGATGTCTCTGCAACCAAACCACAACTAATAAGTGCATCGAACTCAGTTTTGGTTCCGGGATCGAAGCGTCTGGATGCGGAATAACAGGGCTCTATGCTGCTGAGTTCAATGACTTTACAGTTTAGGGACCTCCAAACATCATGCCTACAACCAACTACGTGTGATTGCCCGCAGGATTGTCTAAATTCCCCGACCACCCATAGAGTACTACGGATTATGAGTGTATAATATGCACAAAACTCCGACGAAGCCCAAAGAGGCTAGGCCTGACCTACGGTGCCACCGCGTACGACAGAAGACAGCCCACAGCAGGTTTCAAACGGCCTGGTCTGCTCTAAACTTTAAACCCTATAAACACCAAAGTCCTTAACCACAACCCCCAAACCCTTCAATCCAACAAACCCTGAATTCCTAAACCATGAAAACCCTAAACCTTTCAAAATGTATAGCGGGCTATACATGGTTATATTACATGCTCTACTACTACTGCCCTAAACCGTAAACCCTAAACTAAGTAACCCAGGCTTCGTGAGGCCTGGTCTGCTTTGATCGTCCTCTTGGAAGCCTCCAAATCGATCGGCTGACAAAGGTTGGGTACCTTGTACCTCGAGGCTTAAGGTTTAGGGATGCGGGTTTCAGGGTTTAGGATTTGGTGTCAGGGTATCTTTAGAGACTTGGTACCTGTGCTCTAAACCCTGAAGCCCCAAACCCGAGCGTCGAAACCTTAAACTCCGTAGGGCTAAGGTGGTTTTGGAGAGTTGGGATTGGCAGCACCCTGAACCCTAAACCCAAAACCCTTCTTGAATCGCCAGACGGTTCCTGAACCGCCCACACAATCCACACGCCCAGGCCCAGCTCTTCTTGCTACCCGGACCCAATCAAGTCTAGCCAGACTACTAAGTTTGGGGTTTATAGGGTTTAGGGACAACGACCTGCAATGCTTTCCTTCAGGAGGCAAACTCTAAACCCATCTTGTTAAGTTGAGTCTCTCGCCACCCTAATGATTTAGTGGCTTATGACATTTCCCTAAACCCTAAACCCTTTTCCCTAAACCCTGAGAGCCCGTCAAGTTCAAGCTGTCGGCTCGGGTTTCGGCTTCTGGTGGAGCTCGGGAAGGCGGACTTGACTCTTCACCCGAAGCATCAGAACTCCAACCATAAACACTCAAAACTATGGGAATCATGGTATATTCCAAATTATGGGTAATGCAGGATTTATATCATCAACCGTAGTACCTACTTTGGCCTCTAAAGTCTAAACAGTACCTCCGTTGTGCTTTTCAATTTTGGAGTCTTGGGAAGGTTTCCTGAGATGCACGTGGGCGTGGGGTTTACGCTCCCGCAACTCGGTCCAGGCAGGCGAGGTCTCAGAGTTCGCGGTGTTAGGGTTTAGGGTTTAGTTTTGCGTTCAGGGTATAGTGGTTGTTTGAGATGCCTGCATTGTTTGTTGGCCCTTGTTGGCTCATATCCGGCTATTTCGAGATCCTGCCATTGGCAAAAAGCCGGACTGCCCGGAACAAGGGTGGAAAGGCGATGTACTCATTCCGAACCATGCTTCGGATCACATCGCATTCGTAGATTGCTTTGTCGCTGGGCGTATTGAACTGCAATCTCAGAACTGTCCTGTAAGACTGAGTGCAGTTCCTGCTGTGCTGGAAGCTTCACCAACTGTTTAGTCTAATTGACTTCATGTACCGTACCTGAACCAAAACCCAACTGTATACCCTAACAGCCCTACCACCATTCTAATCTGCCTTGAGAAACCCACACCACACTTCACCCCTGCAGCCCTAAACCCTAAACCCTAAGCCCTAAACCCTTAACGCTACCTCGTTCCAGGTCTCGGGCCAATGGCGCTTGCCGTCCTTCTGGAAGACGAGTAGCACACCAATCTCCCTGTTTCAGGGCCGCTGACCAGAGACTGCTGCAAAGCCCCTGACACCCCGGAATGAAGGAATGCAGCTTAGCTCATTTTCGAGATCTTTCTAGACATGTACAGTTGAGATTCCTTGGTTTGGGAGCCTCTAGGCATGTCGCAACCATCCCGGGTTTCACTACAAACTCGAACAAGCCCAGGTCAGGCAGCGAGTGCCACGATATACGAGCCAGAGAGACTGCGACTATAATTCCTTATGGTTCACATGCAGTAATGAGTGAGACTTTGCTATGCCCTGAAACCTTATTCCACCTAGTATTTTTAAGGCCCCTCTATCATCGGACCCTCATAGTAACCCTCATAGAAACCTTCTATAGAAACCCAACAGGAAGCCCACTCGAACTACTATGGCCCCTATCCTGGACTGGGCCCTAAATCACTTGTGCCCGAGATCCCGGTTTAGGGCTTAAAGTTTCGGGTTTCGGGTTTACGGTTTAGGGTTTACGGTTTAGGGTACCCTAAACCCCAACCCTAAACCCTAAACCCTAAATGAGCCCGAGATCCCAGTCCGAGACCCCGGTTCAGGGTTTAGGGTTTACGGCTTAGTGTTTTTAGGGATTACGGTTTAGGGTTCCTGAACCCCAAACCGGCCTAAACCCTAAACCCTAAATCCTAAACAGTAAACCCTCAACCCTAAACCCTACCAGCCTGAAGTGGACTTGCACATCTTCTTCTTTCAGCTTCCCGGCCTCGCACAGCTAAGCTACACGGCTGCAGCCTAGGCCTAGCACCTGTCCGAATGCTTCGGCACGATACGTTGCGGTGTGTTAGGGTTTAGGGGTTTAGGGTTTAGGGTTTAGGGTTTAGGGTTTAGGGTTTAGGGAGCTAGTTCAAGCCTAAACCGAAAGGCCAAAATCTCGAAGAAACAAGCTGGCAAAGGATGCAGCTGAGGTTTACGCCGGCTTCAGCTATCTATCTATCTGCCTCCGATTCCTGAAGTCTCGTGGACCCCTGGTGAAGCGGTTTTGGTTTAAAAATTGAATAAATTCTGTTGAGATCTTGCCCGACCTTTAGCAATTAATCTAAACTCTGGTCCCACCGAGGGCGACACAGTTGCCTGAAAGGGAACTTGACCGAATCACCTATCCAAGTGCATCTGGAGTTCGACAGCCTGCATTCCGCTAAACCCTATAAATGAGGCTTACCGTACGGCCTCTTGGCCATAGAATTGCAATTCTCCGCGGGAGGGTTTCTCTCCCGACGCCGGGCCTCAAAGAATTCCTCCTTTGCAAACGGGTAGTTCTCTAAAGAAGGGTCCCTCTTTAGGTCCCCAATACAGTACGGCACCATTATGAATAGGGCCCTAACAGGGGACCCGAATTTAGAGAGCCACCCAAATCGCACAGCATGAAAGTTCACGGATAGCTCGCGCCGGCCGGCTCGCACGAAGGACAGCCCCAGGGTCTCACCCAGCCCTTGGGTTGAGGGTTTAGGGTTTCCCGAAACCCTAAACCAGAATGACCTCAAGGGAAAGAAAGTGCGCAACTTATGCCAACTCAGAGCCCTTCGAAGCCCTGACAGCCGTAAGACTCCTTTATAGGGGCCTTCATGATTAGAAGAGGCTTTGGGGATTTTGGGGTTTATTATACTACAATTACTAGAACTTCAATAAGCAGTCCGAAAAAATAAGAATATATGTGAGCCGTGGCATGTCGCTGCGGGCGCGCAGATTTGATGACTCGCCTTTGCGCTCTTCGTCTTCGGTCTCTCGATCAGACTTTGCTACTTGCACAGGGTTGAGACGGTTCAGGTTTTAGGGGTTTTAGCGGGTTTTAGGGTTTATCCTTTAAAAGGGTTTAGGTTTTATGGTTATAAGTTGTTTTTGTGTTGAAGGCTCTATTGGGTCTGCACGAAGTTCGAGCTAAAAAAGCCTAATGACAGGCGAGCCGGTTCAGGGTTATAGGTTTTAGGGTTTGGGGTTTAGAGTCACCAATGTACCTTTCAGAAAGGGATATGCCCCTAAGAGTTTGTACAACCTTAAAGTATCTCGGTTACTCTAAATAGAGCTCTGAGCTATGCTAGCATCCTCTGCTTTCACCCATGGGTTGGCCCGGGGCAAGCCCAAGTAACTCGAAGGTACATGGCATAGAGGTGCCTTGTTACTACAACTACCACGTTGTCACATGCTCCAGGCATCTAAAGACCCAAGCCCTGAACCCTAACTTACAGTTTTTGAATGCCACTGAAGCTAAACTATTATTTTCCTAAACCCTTGCGGAAGCCTAAACCTCATGTGGTGCGTCGAATTCAGACTCGGCTTCTACATCAGAGTGCCCAGTACAAGGCCGCGCTCCTGCTCAGTTTTGCAGGGAGCCAGGCTACGAATCAGAGCAAGACAACTACTAATATGAATGCTATTAAAGAGTAATGATGCTCAAGATCATATGCATCATAACCATGTTCATATGATTCAGATGCATCACAATAACCCACATCGGTAATCAGGCTGAAAAGCACAGTAAAAAGAAACAGTATACTGGCCAGAACAACAAAGTATAGCCCGGATAACCACCCTGTCGACTAAGCCACACGAAGCCTAAACGCACCTCAATACCCGAAACAGTGAGCGTAACTTGGACTACGCTTAGGCAACCAATGTCTTCAGATGACAGAAGAAGCTTTTTGTGTGGATTTTCTGAATCTGACGTTCTGCACATGTCTGTCAGTCGGCCGTGTGCCCTCCTTTGTAATTGGGTCTGCGGGCTCCCCTGGTTTAGCGGCGGAAGTCCTGCTGGTCTAAGGACTTGAAGAGCTTCTCGAAGGCCATCTTTTTGTCATCGATGGCGAACGTCTGAAATGCGACCACCCACTCCTGGGGGAGATTTTGGTGACGCTGCGCCTTCAGAAGGTCACCAAAAGCTAACTTGCTGCGATCATAAAAAGAGACCGAAGCCCAAAGCGTGAAAGTCTAAGAAGCAACAGCAAGCGTATAGTTTCGGTAGGACTGTACGACACCACTAAAGTAACCTATGCAATAGTCCTTTGTTGACACTCACTCTCGGACAACACGAGGCAGGGTCTGCAGAAATACTGGCCTACACGCTTCACTAACGAGGCTCTCTAAGTAGGTTCACCTCAGAAGCTTGCTATCAGCTGAAGTTAACCCTAAACCCTAAACGCAACCCTAAACCCTAAACTCAACCCCAAACCCTAAACCCTGAAACTCAACACTAAACCCTAAACCCTAATTCTGGGTCCTGGTTTATCGAGCTTTGGGTCTCTGAAACTTGCAGGCTTAGGGTTTAGGTTTGGGTTTTTTGGCGTTTGGGATCTTATAGCAATGGACCCCCATAACTTCCTACACTAACTTTTTACACGGTCTTAGGGTATGGGGGTTGTGGTCTGAAGACACAGCACCCACATTCGATCCCCTCTCGCAAAATCAGTCAGGCTTCGTGGGAGGACTGCCGTCCGGTACGACATGAAGTAAGTTTAGGCTTCTGGGAGTTCAAGTCGTCATGGTTTTAGGCTATGCTTGAGGGATCAGGATGCTTAGGGCTACGGGTACAGGTTTAGAGCTTAGTACGTGGAGTTTTTTGCCATTTTGACGAAAGTCGAGAATTTTCGAATCCCGAAACATATCAACAAAGCCATATGAACCCTGAATCGAAACTTTTGTCGACACAATCAGTTACCCTAAGGGTCCATGTACCCAAATAGTAGAACATTGGCCTTAATGTAGTCCCTAGATGGGTACTTTAGGGCCAATGGTTCTGCTATTTTGGGTACATGGACCCTTAGGGTTAAGCTCGTGGAGCCTCACACCCTCATCTTTCCAGCTCGAGCTGAACACGGCGCTAATCCCTCAAGCCTACTTGGAGGTTCAGGGGTAGTTATAAATGGGGTTATAAGTAGGGTAACTATGATTATAACCCAGGTTCGGGGACTTATAACCCTACTTATAACTACCCATGAACCTCCAAGTAGGCCCTCCACCCTACTCTGAACGCAGAAAAACTGAAGCGGTCTCACCCACGTTGACAGTGGTTCAGGGTTTCATGTTAAGGGCATGCCTTCAGAGCCAAGCGTCTTCTGGGAATGTCACGCCACGGTAGAAGTTGGCGTCCAAGTCCTATAATAGAGGGGCACTTTAATAATTGCAATGGGGTTTGGGGCTACATGACAGCAGGCTTAACTGCGTAAGCTAAGGGATCCGAAGGAACAGTATGTGTAATCATTTAGGCTTCTGTATAAAACTCAAGATTGCGAGTTGACGGATTTCCCAAGGATCAAGCTACAAGTGCGGAGCACTGTAATCCACATAAGCTATAGTTCCCTCGATCCCAACCTCTAGTTGCGACACGAAACACGAGACCCTGAACTACACCTACCTGTATTCGATAGCCAAACTCCATTGAACAGAGCTTTGGGGCATAGTATACTTCATATATGGGGGTTTCCGAAAATAGGGGACCCTAATATAGTACCCTAAATAATAGGATCCTTATTATAAGGACCCCAAAATAAGGTACCCCCTATTTTCGGAAACTCCCATATATGTATTGAGACAGCAGGGCAACTTTATGCACATGTTCGGGGCCGCTGGGTTAACTCGAAACATGCTGGCAAGGCTAACCCGTGCCTGTCGCCCCTAAACCTGCAACCTGTATCTCTTGACTCTCAACGATAAGACCGTTCTTTGAAAAGTCCCTATACACCTCTACCCTAATATTCACCTCATTAAGGCGGATGTTTATGCGGATAGAGGGGCCTCAGGAAGTAAAGAACTTTCTGAGCAAAACTTACTGGATACTAAAGTTTCTGAAAGACTGCAATCCCAGCCCCTATACTCCTCATTATTGTAAGCCCGAAGATATGTCGTGGAAGCCAGAAAGCTGGAACAGCACTATCCTCATGCCCTAAAGGCAAAGGTAAACGGAATCCCAGCACTAATCATCCCAAACCCATCTTCCAACTTTCTGGGCTTCCCTGCAAAAACCCAACTAAAGCCCTCAAAGATGAACCCGAAAAAAACCCTAAACCGTAAAGCCTATAAACCCTAAGAAACTCAAGCCCTCAAAGCCTGAAAACCCTAAAAGCCCTCCAAGCCCCAGGCCTTGAGGACCTCCTGGCCGCCTTTTATCCTGTTCGAAATCGTGGGGTTGTTGATCAAGTCGATCAAGTGCCGCAGAAACCTCTCCGGCTTTAAGTTTAGGGTTTGAGGGTTAGGGGTTTAGGGCTTCAGTCGGGCTTCAGTGTAGACTTTGAGAAGGAAGCTACATAATTTTGCTGATAAGCTTGTCGATCCTTGCTTGAGTGGGCTCTTTGTCAGGTGAGCTGCTGCGACGCTGCCGTTTGCAACATGCTTTTTGTCCATCGTTCTAAGGGCCCTCTTCCGGTAGTTTCATGGGCTCAAATCAACCACGGAGAGTAAGCTGAGCCAGGACCAGTTTTTGGAAGACGAGTTGTGTTATTCCACGACAAGGGTTTTCGAGCAGTTTTGTGGGTCGTAGACAAGCACAAAAGAAGACATCTCAATCCCGATTCCCTGAATCCTTCTTCGAGGAGGGGCTGCAGTGAACATGCCCTCGTACCCTTATCACCTCGAAGCTTCCGCTCTGAATCATTGAACCCCTTAGACCGTAAACCAACATCCTACAATGACTTCCTTCAATGTTACGTTGAGCCACCCAGACAGAAGCGGGCACATCGAACAATCCTAACACAATGGCCCGAATGGATGCAAGGAGGGGTGTTGAGATGGTGCAAGAAGCAAGAATGATATAGGGGACTGCTGCAGACGGGTGCGACCTATGCCAGTACGGCTTTCAGCTCGAATCTTAGGATCTAACTTCAGCCCGTGCGGAGACTTGAAACCTCGCCACAAGCCCGTGATTCAGTAATCTCCACTCTGAAACCATATCCTTCTTTCCACATGCGCTTAATTGGAACTCTGAAACCATATCCCTCTTTCCACATGCGGCTTAATTGGCGGAATCGCTCCTTCGTTTCCCTGGGGCTGAGGCACTAAACCTCGAAACCCTGCACCAGACTTCCAGAATTGCTGCGAAGATGTCTACCGGGTGCCAGGAACACACCTAGTTTAGGGGCCTTCAGTTTCAGAAGACTTCTGGGTCTCGGCATCTTAGACATTACGAAAGACAGGCAAGCGGCTCCACTCTTTCCTCCTGGTTTGCAGAGTTCCAGAGATGGACCAACCTGACTCTCCCGATTTGGCGTGGCGTTGGAGGGAGCGGGGGAAGGTGGATTAAGGCTTGGGGTCAGGTGTGCAGGGCCGTTCGTAGCTACATGGTAGACCCGAAACCCGGGAGGCCCGAACAACCCGAAACTGCTAGGGGAAATCCGACGCCCTAAACCGCTTTAGGGTTTAGGGCGCAAGGTTCAACTAGCACAAAAATCCCGAAAGCCAGGCCGTAGCTGCTTCACGGGGATCGGTTAGGAACGGTCTAGGTGATCAGGGCCTGTATCCTTTCGGGCTGCAGACTTAAGGTTTAAGGTTCAGGGCAGATAGGAACCCCTAACTATGAAGCACATTTACCCCTTAATTAAGGAATATGGCCTAAATCATAATATGAAGCCCCTTTTTATTTAAGCCATATTCCTTCATTAAGGGGTACTGGGCTCTCTGGGTGAATCCCAACGTACTACAAGTACCGCAAAAAAAGACGAAGACCACTCCTAAGCCTGCTTTGGGGCGGAGCGCAACCCGAGTTTCGGTTTTCAGACATGCAGGGCAGACCCGAAACTCTAGAACCCTAATCCCTAAACCCCAAACCCTTTTGCCCTAATCCCTAAACCCTAATCCCTCCACCCTGAACCCCAAACCCTAATCCCTAAACCCTAAAGTCGGCCTTTCTCTTGATTGGCCCTTTAAGGAACCCTCAAAAACAACCGAACCCTTCGAAAAGGAACCCTTGAAGGAAAGCCCCATGAACCACCACAAACCAAAAAACCCTAAACCCTAGCCCCTAACACCGAGAAAACACCGACGGAAAAACAAACACAAAAGCTGCCAAGCCGCGTCTGCATCCTCTGGGGAGCGGTCATCTTTGTCCTGGGTTTTGGGGTTTTGGGATTTTTTGCCAGGGATCAGGGTTTAGGGAGAAAGGAAGAGGCTAAAAGGGATTAGGGGGTGGGACTTTTGGAGTTCCGGGGCTTCGGAGTGTAGGGTCTCGGGTCGAGGCACCCATCAACAACCCCTAAACCCTTTTTCAGCACGGACTGAGGTGCCGGCCAGCGCCCATGCAACCCCTAAACCCTCAACCTTTTTGCTGGCCCGAGATGATGCGAAGCTTTGCGGAAGACTGGCGACTGGCTCAGGGCTTAGGCTCCGGCATTCAACGGCTTGAAAATTTAGGGGATTTGAGATTATTGCTCTAGAGGTTTAGGTGGAACGGCTTAGGATTCATGAATCTTAGGGCCCCGCAGCTTCTTCCGACAAAACCTATACTAAACCCTAAACCGTGGGCGGCTGAGTCGCTGATAGAAAGTCAGCCAATCCCCATCTGGCAGCTCTAGCTTCGGCACGTCGGAGAGAGGTCGACAGTGCCTCGGAAGTTAGGGGATAGGCTTTGGGGCTTAGGATTTAACGAATTTTGAAAGTTGGTTCTCTACAAAGACGGCTGCGGGCTAGAAACCTTAGAAACTGCAATTGGCTTTCAACACGCTTGGTCGTACAAGCAGTCCTGGCAACCAAAACCAAGAGATCAAGCCGACATATATGCCTGCATATCGTTGTATATGTACATGTAGCCCCCGATTCCCATCATCACGCATATACATATGTATATGTAGATGTACGTACGTATGTATGCATGCATGCATGCATGCATGCATGCATGCATGCATGCATGCATGCATGCATGCATGGTATGTATATATATATATGCATGCTGCATGCATGCATGCATGCATGCATGTATGTATGTATGTGTGTATGTCTGTATGTATGTATGTATGTATGTATGTATGTATGTATGTATGTATGTATAACACGTATACATCTACATGTATATATACATATGCCGAACATGTATATGTACTGCATTATGCTACTACTTATGTGTTTCGGTATGTGTGTACTTGTATATATATAGAGAGAGAGAGAGAGATAGAGAGAGAGAGAGTGACAGAGAGAGAGAGAGAGGGAGACGGAGACAGAGAGAGAGAGAGAGAGACCGAGAGGCAGAGAACAGAGAGACAGGGAGACACAAAGAACAGAGAGAGAGAGAGGGAGAGAGAGAGAGAGAGACCGAGAGACAGAGAACAAAGAGACATAGAGAGACGTCTTCAACGCCGGGATGCTCTTCCGGGAGCTGCGCTGGCGCCTCGGGAGCGACCTCGGGCACCGGCTGCGGCGGAGGTCTCCTGGGCTCTGCTGGGCGTTGTGCTTTGGATTTAGGGTTTAATTAGCGTTTAGGGTGTACCTGGGGATCCAAAAACCTAACAGCTATTCCTCCTACTCCTACTCCTACTTCTACTACTGCTGCTGTGTGCGAGGGTTTTGAGAACTATTTTAGCAAGGTTTCCAGCAATTCTGCAATCTTGCCCCACTTGGGGACGAGAGTGCCAAGATGACAATGCAATCTTGGTCATCTTGGTCGACGATGTAAACTTATCGGCGAGTGCCGAGCAAGTGAGGCAAGATGAGCAAGTGGGGCAAGCTGATCAAGATTGCAAGATGTTGTTCTGAATTCCCGGCACAATGTACTACTACTTCTTCTACTGTTGCTGGTACCGGTACTGGTACTGCTACGTGCTACTGGTCGGGGTTGACCCTTAATCCCAAAACCTAAAGCCCACACTCTACTAGGTTCCCCAGTAGTCAGCAGCCCCATAATAACAAGAGTACCCTGTTTCCTACAATTCGGTTTTAATAAGGGCACCCAGACAGAGAAACCTAATCCACCAGCTGTGTCTTTCCCGAGTTTCTTTGGCGGCTCGTCGTCCGAGTCCTGCGAGGGTTTAAGGTCCCTCAGGTTAGACTTGTTTTTGTTTTTTGGGCTTGGTGCTTTTTTCGAGTCTGCAAATCGGGAGTCTGCATGATTTTTTGAGAAAAGAGAAGCTTTAAATGGGCCAGGAATTGTTTTGGGAATTCTTTTTTCTTTTTTTTGGAATTCTTGTTTTTTTAGGGTTTGGGGCTTAGTTCTGTATTTTACTTGGAAATACTTCATTTTCTTTTTATTTTAAAAGGAAAACCTGCATTTTTCTATTTTTCGCAATTTTTCTATATTTTCGTAGGAAAACTTGAATTTTCTGTATTTTCATAGGAAAACCTGGATTTTGTTTTAATTTCACAGACAAAACCTTAATTTTCTCTATATATTAGTAGGGAACCTTAATTTTCTCTATTTTCTTTTGTAAGAAATAACTAT